TTGGCAATAGAGAAGGTACCCTCCAGAAAATCGTCGCTGGCATCATCAGAGGAGTCTCAGGAATTCCATGATAGCCAGGACGACAACATAGAAGTTGATTCAAGCAAAGAACATCACGAAAAAGTTCAGGAGCTAATTAATGTATTAGAAAACTCGGATGAGTCAATACAATCCACTAGTAGTGTAGATAGCAACCTAGACATAACTATAGTCGATGCAGACATAGATATGGAAGGTAATAAGAGGGAACCAGGTGAAAAGTCCCCTATAGAGGACAAGTTCACATCTGCATATGTGAATGAGGCCTTACCTCAGCACAAAACCATCGACCTCCCAACAAATGTGATGACAAACACACTAAACTTTCAGAACAATGGTCCCAGTTCTAATAATATAAATAACCCCCAAAACACTGAACATATGGAAACTGGAGGTGAGGAAAAAGCCCCAAGCTCGGGTGGATCGAGTAGCTCTCGCCTGGGGTTTGACCCTACACCTTCAAATCCTCTCCTGGGAACACTAGTAGACATGAGCAATGTCACCCTCAAAAATACAGGGGCCACGAGAAAAAACTCCGATCCCAGAATAAGGAGAACAAGTAGATATGAACTACCATATAGTGTATCTAAAAGTATAATGGGGTACGATTCCAATAGTTACACATCGGAAGATGAACAGAGAAATCTGAAAAGAGATAAATTCGAATATCTCCCTCATTCACCAAACAGTACATTCAATTTGAGAACAGCAGAAGAAAGAGCCAGATTCGAACAAGAGGAACGAGAACTAGAAGCGGCCAAAAAAGCCAGCAAAGAGCCACCGTTTGTATCCCCTAGGAAATTCTCCTCAAATTTCCAGAAATTAATTAGGGAAAAATCCAAAAAAACCCTTACCGTCACTGAAAACAAATTCGCCCCATTGACGGATGAGTCAGATGATGAACTAGAAGACGAAATAGGAAAGATCGTAAAAAAAAGGAAAAAGGGAAACAAATTCAGGCCATTCGATGCAAACGAACCTTCACAGGAGCCGTCTACTTCAGCACAAAACAATATAAATGACAAAAACAAGGAAAATAGTAAACCCACAGCCAAAATAAACCCTAAAACGGACCAAAAAAGAAAGACTATGCCGCCTATAGTTATAGAAGGCAAAACCGCAGATCAGGGACAGCTAATAAAAGATATAAAGGACAGAGTTAATGGTGAATTTAGCGTTAAACATACTAGATCCACCACAATACTATTTCTTGAACATAAAGATGACCATCAAAAAGTACTGGAGAACATTAGGAAAGAAAATATATCATATCACACATATACAGCTAGTGACGACAAATCGCATGCGTTTGTACTTCGAGGGCTGGCTGACAAAACAAAAATTGAGGATATTATAGAAAACTTAGAAGATGAACATGAAATCACTCCTAGATCGATTTTTCAAATGAACACAAAAGACAGGCCCCTATTTCTGGTAGTTACCGACCCAGCGATAACCCTTGACTATCTCAACAAGAACGTTAGAAGAGTTCTATACACAAGGGTTACCTGGGAACTGAGGAAATCGGCGAAGGCAATCATCCAATGCCATAACTGCCAGCAATGGGGGCATGCAACATCAAACTGTGGACGTCCTTCTAAATGTGTGAAATGCGCGGGTGATCATCACACAAAAACATGTAGCAAAACAAGAGAAACTCCAGCGATCTGCGTTAACTGTGGTGGTGATCACCCCGCAAATTATTCTAAGTGCGAAGCTTACCTGTCTAAATTACAAAGATTAGAGGAGAGAAGGCCTAAAGCCAAAACTAAATATGTACCCGCCCCCGCACCGAAAGTAAACCAATGGGAGGCCAGACAGCGAAATCGTAGTGAAAACTCGGAATATCCTTCGCTGACAACTAGAAACGCCCCGCCCACTCGGTATATCGAAGAAAACGAAGCTAAGAAGAACTCAACAGAAAGAAATATACCGCAGAACACCCAAATGGATGACTTCTCCGCACTCAATCATGAATTAAATATTTTAAACAGGTTAGTCAATATTGGTGAACTTACAAGGGCGATCAGAGCACTGAACGCCAAACTCAAAAATTGCAACTCGGGTCAACAAATCATTGAAACATATAACGCGTTCATGAGTAACGTAGACAACACATTCAATATTAGGAACTGAATTCAATTCAAGGGACAAACAAAAACTCAAAATTTGTTTCTATAATGCAAATGGGATGCGAACAAGAACATCACTTGTTCGTAACTTCATTCATAAACATAAATTCGACATCGTACTTATTACCGAAACACATTACAAACAATCAGACAGAATTAAAATACACGGGTACGACATCATCAGACATGACAGACCGGATCAGTCATGGGGTGGTGTGGCTTTTTGTATTAGATCTGAAATTACCTATGAACATCTAGCAAATTTAAACATACCGCAAGAGCATTTAATAATAAAAATTGCAAATATTAACTTTGTCGGGCTATATAATCCACCAGATAGTGCTTTCACTAAAAATAATATAAATACAATCATGTCATCAGGAAATAGAGTCCTTCTACTGGGTGATCTTAACTGCAAACATCCCCACTGGGATTCGAACTGCCAGCGCCCAAATAAAAACGGGAAAAATTTGGATGAATTCGCCGAAACCAACGATATCATTATACATTATCCCGAAGACCCCACCCACTTCCCTTCCACCCCAAGATACACCCCCTCCACAATTGACATCGCGGCTGCCAAAAATGTACCGAACGTAGAGAATACAAGGACAATCAAAACACTCACTTCGGATCACGATCCTGTATACTTGGAGATAAGGACTACACGCCTGATACCAAGGATACAGGGTCGTTATTACGACTACAAAACAACAGACTGGACGAAATACAGAAAAACACTGGACGAAAACATTGACATTAACAATAACATTACAGATAGGCAATCTCTTGAGGAAGAAATTAAGCATCTTACAGAAGTAATCATAAATGCCAGAAACAGTTCTACAAAACTAATTACATTGAAGCCACTAAAGGATGATCTTCCTCAAGAGATTCTCGACCTCATTACAAACAAGAACTACATACGTAGACGTTGGCAGACGCACCGACAAGCCGCCGACAGGGTCATGTTCCAGGAGTTAGGAAAAGCCATAAATAAAGAAATCAATAATTTTAGGAACCTAAAATGGCGCAAGACCCTGGAGGCGATTAACATAAAAGACAACTCAGTGTGGAAAATTGTGAGGCGGTACAGAAAACCGTTCTCGCAGCTTCCCACACTGAAACACAATAACAACTCATACTCGACAGACGTACAAAAATGCACGGCTTTCGGCGAATTCTTCCAAAATAATTTTATCAATGAACAAATCAATAATCAAGAACAAACAGAAATCACCAACATAGTTAATGACATAAGGCAAATGCCAGTACAAATAGTTCCCACAAATTCACTAACCACACCTAAAGAAATAATAAGCATTATCAAAAAGACACCCAGTAAAAGGGCTCCAGGACCTGATAATATTCAAAATATATTACTAAAAAACCTATCAAAAAAAATTTGCGTACAATTACACTACATAATCAACGCCATAATTAAACTCCAGTGGTATCCGGACGCATTTAAAGTTGCAAATGTGGTCCCGATACACAAAAAAGGTAAGAGCAGATCTGATATAGAAGGCTACCGCCCTATATCTCTTCTAAACGGCTTAGCCAAAATTACAGATCGTGTGCTGCTCACGAGGCTACACACTTACGAACAAGACACCACAATTATTCCGGCGGAACAGTACGGTTTCAAAGCCGGCCACAGCACGATTGCACAAATAATACGAATTGCACAACATGCAAAAGATGCATATAATCAAAATCAACAAACCGTATTAGTTGCAATCGATGCTGCAAAGGCGTTTGACACCGTCTGGACCGACGGCTTAATACACAAAATGTTTATGAATGATTACCCTGTTTTCATTGTAAAAACAATTCAAACATACCTACAGCTGAGATCGCGACCAGGAGACTGGACATCCACGTAAACAGAACGCTAGTACCTTATTTCAACGCAAATAAAATCAAAATAAATGTGACTAAAACCGAAAGTATGGTTTTGTCACACAAAACAAGGGACAGAATTATTACAAAACTTAAAGTGCAAAATCAGCAAATAGAAACAAAAAACTCCATGAGGTACCTAGGTTTCATGCTGGACCGGAGGTTAACTTTCAAAAACCACATAGAGGAAAGAATTGCCAAAGCTACCGGAGCGCTAAAAACTTTATACCCGATGCTACATCGAAGAAGCGGTGTGACATCGGAAAATAAAGTACTACTTTATAAACAGGTACTACGGCCAATACTGTTATATGGATGTCCAGTCTACTGCTCAATGGCAAACATCCATTATAAAAAGCTTCAAATCTTTCAAAACAAGTGTCTGCGGCTGGCTTTAGGGTGTGACCGTTACGCTAGAATAATTGATATGCATGCGCAAGCATCCATGGAAACAGTGAAAGATCATGTCATGAGATTAGCAGAGGACTTTTACGACAAATGTTTACCTCCAGAACTTAAAAATCACATCACCTCTATTCATCAGGGGGATGGTATTCACAGAATCCATGGATGTCTGCATAAGGCACTATCAATTTACACACAGGATCAAAATTAAATTCAAAACGATAGACATACATCCTCCATAGCAGCGTAAACCCCACTGAATACTAAAATTACAACGTCGACTAGTTAGCAACTTTGGTCGGACGGACGACTGCACGGTGACGTCACAGCTCGGTGCGAAAATCTCCAGTACACCTAGAGCTTTGTCTAGGAACGGTTGCTATAGAGAGTCTATTATTTTTTGAAAATACATACGTCACTTGTCAGCTGTCAAAATAAAAATCATTACTTTTACCTTTTTCCTGCCCTAGTTTAAAATAACGCCAGTGTAAGTACCCTCAGACTACAGAAGGGACTCGGTCCATGTCCGAGCCCGAAGGGGCCCCCAAAACATCGAATGTCGGTTTCGAAACGGAGTATACAAGAAGACTAAAAGACAGGTGTAGGCCTGACTACAAAGAACTTAGCAAATACGCCAAAATATCGTCTCCACAAAATATTAGGAAGTCTAAAGTCAAAATCCATCCAGTACTGAACGTAAGTAGGTATTCAATTCCTCTTAAGGGCACTAATCCTAACACCGGGGTCAAAGAACTCAATATCAAGGATTTCCTCGACAAAAAATTTTCGAGACGACCTTCAAACGACCCTGAAGTCTTAGAAACAACAGAAGGAGGCATTACTGTTGCCAACCAAAAAGACCCCCCCCTACCGACTAAAGAGAGCCTAGAGAAGATACCAACAGAAGGGGATTCGGATGACCTCGAATTCCATGACTCATCCGATGCCACTATGGATAGTCAGGACGACAGTGTCAGTAATAGTACTGGGAATTCGACAATCAAACTAGATAAAGAATCTAACCCTAGCACAATTAAAAAAATTGAAAAACCCAAATATAAAACCCTCCCCCTACCCCCAAATGTTGTTGCAAATCTATTAGATTTTAAAACAAACAACTATCAGATAGAGTTGAACACAATCACAGGTAAAGATCTCCCAAAGGTTGACATCATCATCGAAAACAGTAGTGTAGATAATACTCAGGCCCAAGGTGGATCGAGTAACTTTAGGTCTGAGTACGAAACTGCACTACCTGTACAAAATGAGCCTAACCTGAATAATGTTACGAATAATATATTTAAAGAAACTGTCATAACATCGGAAGAAGACAATCCATTAATCCCAGGAGATAAAACAGATGAGAATAAACTACCCCACTCACCTAATAGCGTATTTATATTAAGAAAAGAAGGACAACCTATCACTCCTGAAAAGGAGATGGAGGTAGACGAAAATCCAAGTAAGGATAATGAGACCCCATTTACAAACCCAAGGCGGTTTAGCTCGAATTTCCAGCGGCTAATCCGGGAAAAAACGAAAAAAACATTAACCCCAACAAAAAACCGATTTGAGCCTCTAACCGATGAATCCGATTCAGACATTTCAGATGATGAAATCGGAAAAATAGTAAAGAAAAGAAAAAAAGGATCCGTATCAAAGACAAATACCACAGAAAGGGCTAGTAACAGCAACAATACCAACGCAGAAACACTACAGGCGAAAACAAGCAATGAAACTGTCAAAACAAAAGCTACAGAAGCAAAACAAAATAAAACCAAAGTTCAAATGCCTCCTATTGTTATAGACGGTAAAACAACAAATCCCAATAATCTTATACAGGATATCAAAGCTCTCGCTAAAGGCAACTTTAGCGTGAAGCATACTAACTACACGACGGTACTTTTCATAGAGGACAAGGAGGACCACGAAAGAGTACTAGCAAACATAAAGATGGACAAAATGCCCTACCACACTTACACCAACAACGAGGATAAGTCGCACGCCTTTGTGCTAAGGGGGCTGGCAGAAGGCACTAAAATTCCAGATATTGAACAAGACATCGAAGAACAGTACGAAATAAAAACGAGAGCTATATATAGAATGAACACTAAGGACCGCCCACTCTATTTAGTTGTGACAGATCCAGCAATTACGCTGGACTACCTAAACAAAAACGCCCGCAGGGTACTCTACACTCGGGTAATATGGGAGCTAAGAAAATCGGCAAAGAAAATAATTCAGTGCCACATTTGCCAAGGCTGGGGGCACGCCACAGCAAATTGTGGTAGACCAGCTAAATGCTTGAAATGCGCGGGGGATCACCATACCCGCACTTGTACAAAAACACGAGACACACCGGCCACCTGTGTAAACTGCGGGGGTGATCACCCCGCCAATTATACGAAATGTAAAGCCTATACCGAGAGACTAAACAGATTAGAAGAGAGGAAAAAACCACAGCAGCAAACTAGATATGTACCGGCCCCGGTACCAACAGTTAACAGATGGGAAAATAGGAAAACAACATCTAGAAGCAAAGAAGAATTCCCTGCTCTTCCGAGCAGGAGCCAAAATTCAAATGAAGTAATTGAAGTAAATCAAAAAATAGAGAGGCCAAGACCAGAAAACAGCCAAGGTAAGATCATGACCGATGTCTCGACCCTTAATCATGAGCTTAATGAATTAAATAAAATCATAAATATAGGTGAAATGACTCGAGCAGTCAGAGAACTTAACGTAAAAATGAGACAATGTAAAACAGGTCAGGAACTTTTTGAAACATACAACGACTTCATGTCTAACATCGACTTTAATTTTAATCTAAGAAACTGAACTAAATAATAGAGACAAACAAACACTAAAAATTTGTTTTTATAATGCAAATGGGATGCGCAACAAAACAGCACTTGTTCGCAGTTTCATTCTCAAACATCAATTCGACATCATATTCCTTACTGAGACACACTACAAACAAACTGACAAAATCAAAATACAAGGGTATGATGTCATCAGACAGGACAGACCTGACCAATCATGGGGCGGAGTAGCTTATTTCATAAAATCAAACATCAATTTTAAACAATTACATAATATAAATATCTCTCAAGAACATCTAATAATAAATATAAATCAAATCACACTTGTTGGAGTATATAATAAACCCTCAAATAACTTCGCGTTGCTAGAATTTCATAAAATTATGGCCACGGGTAACAGGGTTCTCCTACTCGGGGATCTAAATTGTAAACACCCCTACTGGGATGCAAACTGTACTACTGCCAACAAAAATGGGAACACCCTAAACAAATTCGCGGATGATAACGATTATGTAATCCACTATCCAGACGACCCAACGCACTTCCCTTTCTGCCCAGAACACAAACCCAGTACAATTGACATTGCAGTAGCAAAAAACCTACCGAACATAGACAACGTCAGGACAATTAAAACTCTAAACTCGGACCATGACCCTGTATTCTTGATAATCAAATCAACTAAAATCATCCCCAGAATACAGGGTATGTACTATGACTACAATACGACAGACTGGACTAAGTACAGACGAACACTTGACTCTACTATCAGTATTAACATGACAATCTCAGACGTACAAACACTTGAAACCGAATTTGACAAATTTCAAAACGCCATAATTACTGCAAGGAACTTATCTACTAAAAAGACTAAACGTAAACAACATCAAGAAGACTTACCACAAGACATAGTAGACCTAATACACACAAAAAACTACATACGTAAACAATGGCAGACACATCGACAAGCCGCTGATAGGGTGAATCTGTCGGAAATAGCAAAAACAATAAACAAAATGATACACAATCACAGAAACGAAAAGTGGAAGAAAACCCTAGAAGCGGTCAATACGAAAGACAATTCAGTATGGAAAATTGTGAGATGCTTTAAAAAGCCTCACTCGCAATTACCCATACTGAAACACAAAAACAATGACATAACATACTTGACAGATGAGCAGAAAGGGAGTGCACTTGGAGAATACTTTCAAAACAATTTTATAAACACTCAAATAAACAACGAAAAGCAAAATGAAATAGAAAACATATACAGCCAAATATTAAACATCCCTATTCAAAAAGTATCCCCCGAAATGCTAACTTCCCCTCAGGAAGTATTAAATACAATAAAAAGGTCCCCCAGTAAGAGAGCACCTGGCCCAGATGGAATACACAATAAATTAATAAAAAACATTTCTAAAAAATCACTGGTGCAATTACATTATCTAATTAATGCAGTAATAAAACTCCAACATTACCCGGAGAAACTCAAAAATGCTAATATTATCCCGATTCATAAAGCTGGTAAAAACAAAAACGAAATAGAAAGCTACCGCCCCATTTCCCTCTTAAATGGCATAGCCAAAATCCTAGACAAAATTTTACTAAACAGAATAACTACACACGAACTTGACAACCCAATCATCCCTAAGGAACAGTTTGGATTTAAAGCCGGACACAGCACCATAGCGCAAATCATTAGAATTGCGCATCATGCAAACAAAGCTTTCAATGAACACAAACAAACGGTGTTAGTTGCGCTTGATGCTGCTAAGGCTTTTGATACAGTCTGGACCGAAGGGTTGATTTACAAGATGTTTGTGAATGATTACCCTGTTTTCATTATAAAAATAATCCAAACGTACTTACGAAACAGAACATTCAACATTAAAATCAACAACACAATACAAGGACCATACAGAGCACAGTCAGGAGTACCCCAAGGGTCGGTACTTGCGCCGCATCTGTATTCCATCATGACCCATGACATACCAATGGGTCAAGATGGCATACAGACGGCCCTGTATGCGGACGACACTTGTATCTTCAAAACGTCAAAATCAGCCAACATTGCAAGCAAAAGGTTGGACATTCATATAAACCGAACGGTAGTCCCCTATCTCGATAGTAACAAAATTAAAATTAATGCGGAAAAAACAGAAAGTCTCATATTAACAAAAAGAACCACGGAAAGAATAATTTCAAAAATTAAAATCCAAGGAAAAGAAATAGAGACAAAGAACAGTTTAAAATACTTAGGATTTATTCTTGATAGGAGACTAACGTTCAGTGAACACATTACAAAAAGAATCGGTCTGGCTACTGGTGCTATTAAAGCACTAAATCCCATGCTACATAAAAACAGCGGCGTAACAAGCCAAAACAAACTCCTATTGTACAAGCAAGTAATCAGGCCGATTCTTACATATGGATGCCCAGTCTTTTGCTCTATGGCAAATACACATTATAAAAGGCTACAGAGAATCCAGAACAAGTGTCTCCGGTTGGCGTTGGGGTGCGACTACTATGCGAGAATACTTTACATGCACGAACAAGCATCCATGGAACCAATTAAAGAATACATATTAAGAATGTCTGAAAACTTCTATCAAAAATCCCTACCAGCACACATTAAGGACGACATATTGTCAATACATCTTAACGACGGTGTAAGCAGAATCCATGGATGCTTACATAAAGACCTAAAAATTTACAGACGAGAATAGAGACAGCCCTCAGCTACCGACAGAACGTGGACTGGGCGCTGCTACTAACTGACTCACAGCAGCGAGTATTACACTGAATAGCCAAAACTCGAATCCGACTAGCTATCAACTCTAGTCGGACGGAAGACTGCACGGTGACGTCACTAGTCGATGCCGAGATTGCGGCTAGCGCTACAAACTCGATGTTGACTGGTGATTTTGCAGTGTAGTCTGCAGTATTTGGCTTTCTCACGTACGTAAACTAAGATGAGACACACTCACAAACAAGGACAACCCTGTTTTTTACAACAGTTTTTCAGGGAGGACAGACACAAGTAAAATCATGACAAAAACTTCATCAAAATCCACTGCTGACTCTAGTCATTTCACAACTGTCCTATAATGCACTTATGCAAGGAGAGGACACACTAAATATCATAATTTAAATCAGTACAAGGGTGCAAACACGGCCAAGACATCGGCCATGATCTTTTGAACACTTCCAACACGGTTTAGGAAGAAATCAAGGGTCAAATATGTAATATAATGTATTATACTATGTATTAATTGTACCTTAGGTACTGAAATGAAATGTAGATATTGTAAATATTAATAAAGGACTTTTTGAACTGAACTGAACTGAAAATCTCGTGGCTTGCTGCGAATTTTGCATGGGACTGTGGTGGCGCTGTGTAGTCTTGTAATCTGAATTTTCATGCACATAAACTATACAAGACACACTTACAAACAAGGACAACCCTGTTTTTTACGAACGGTTTTTCAGGGAAACACAGACAAAATTAAATTCAAACAAAAATCCTCAACTATCCCATTATCGCCCTTGCAAGATCACCAAAATTGACTTATAATGTTGCTATTTCAACAAGGAGAAGTCATACAGCCAAAATAGTAAATAATGACGATTATCTACACGACCATGACATCGGTCTGGTCTCTACAGGAGGCCACAAAAGTGAATACTTCACTTCAGTTGAGAAGAAATCCTTTTATTTTGACGTAAATGATCTGTTATTATAAACATTGTGTACATATTGTAAATAAAAGCCTTTTGAAATCAATCAGGTTACTTATTTATTCGATGTTAAAATTTCTAAAACGAAGAATGGAAGACTAGGAAAATTTGTAATAACAGAAAGAGAAATGAATAAAAGAGGGTAAAATGGAGGTAACCTTTTATGTCTATTTTTATGTATGAGAGAGTATTAAAATAATAAAGCGTTCGTAATCCATAGGCGTACCACTTCTTTTAGTAGACAGTTAAAATATTTTTTGAAGTTATTTCTCGAGTATACACTTATATTTTCACCTAATTAACCTGTTTATAACTTCTAAACAGCTGAAGGTAAAAAAATGCAATTTTTTCTAAAATGTTTTATTTTTCCACAAAGTATGTTAAGAACATTGTATCAAACGGGTTATGTAGGTATAAGGGTTTAAACTTTGACTTTTAAACAACGTTACGTTCATAAATAATAATTTTAATATAAAAACTACTTCTTACCTACAAATCCAAATCAGAATCGAAATCAGAACCCAGACAGCACACGACGTCCATTGGACGTCCATATTTTGTCCAAATAATGTCCTGGATGTCCATGAACTTTATATGAATGTCCAATGGACATCCATTTTCTGTTAACCAATGGATATACCCATTCAGAAGTCCAATGGATGTCCAATAAATGTCCATGATGGACACTATAAAAATGACTAATTTATAATAAATTATTATAATCCTTCTGGTATAATTTAATTATTTACAACGTTTTAATTATAATAAATCAATTAATTTTCCTCTCCAAACGCCTCTGTTGACAAAATAAAAAAGTAAAAGGCCATTCAGACCAGACTCGAAGAAGAAGAAGAAAAGAAGAGAGGTTTAGAATAAAACATCCCACATGTAGCCGATAGATAATGTTTATATGGTAAGAAAATAAGTATAATTAACATTAAATTATTTAAAAATCCAAAAATTAAGAAGAAAATCGTTTGTTTTGAACTAATATAACCTATCATTTATGTTTTAAACTTTATACTTTCGATTTACATTCAAAGAATCCCTTTCTTTTAGACCTTTTGTCAAAATATTTACCTATTTATTTAATAAAATGGCTTTACTAAAAGCTAACTAATATGCTGCAAATTCGAGATGATGTCAACACAATTATTATTGTAACTAAGAGGTGAGAAAACTTTCAAAGGAGAAGAAAACAATTCAAGTTTCTATTTGTATGGCATGAGACGTTAGCAGAAGAGGCTATTTAGAAGATACAAATATTTTTAAAGAAGCTGT